TTCTAGGACCCCAGGGGAGGCCAAAGTCCAAGGATGTGCAAGTCTTTTATGGAAAATGGGACAGTGTTTGTGGATAACTGACACATGTCTTCCCATATACTTTAAACCATCTCTAGATTACTCAGAATACCTAACACAATATAAATGCTATGTAAATAGTTACCTTCACACAACAAATTCAAGTTCTGCCTTTTGAAACTTTCTGCAAATTGTTTTTTATTCAAAGATTTTTGTTTTGTGGTTGGTTGACTCCATGACTGCAGGACCCTCTGATAGGAAGGACTGATTATACATACATGTAATGATGGTCCATGACTATGCATCCATGCCTTCAAATTTCCTAACTCACTTGCAGTTAAGTAGAGCCATATGATTATTTCTAGTCAATGAATGGTCAGTGAACAGAAGTGGAATTTGGCACCTTTGAGGCAATATATTTAAGACCCTTTGGCTTTCTCTTCCCCTGCTCTGGTGACCTGCAACTACATGTTTTATGAGGTTCAGCTACAGCCAGTGTACATCAGAGACTGGGGGAGCAGTCGCAGTCTTAGGACATGCTGACCTGTATGAGAAATAAGCGAACACTGCAATGCTCTGAGGGATGAAACTACCAAGGATTTATGCACATTATTGTTCCAGTATAACCTAACCTGAATAATAAAAACCACAACTGAAAATCAGGACCTCCCCTACACACACATCCCCCTGACCTCTTCCGCTCTGGTTCGTCTGATATTCTGTCTGTAATCTTTTGCAACATTCACATGGATCTAGGAAAAATGGAATCCAATGGTTAGTGTTATATGCTCTTCCACTGGCTTTTTCTTACCCTAAATTATGTTAGGTTGCTAGATTATTGGGGCGTGGGACTGGGGATCCCATACTATTATGTATACTACTCACTCTTCCATAACTTGAATAAATGAAACTGCATTTCTACGAGGCTAACTTTAAAATTAGTAACTATTTTGAATTTGTAAATTAGTATTATTTACAGTCTATAGAAAGTGATTGGCATTCAGCACTGGAGAGTTGAAGACAAAGCATTTAATTGCTTGAACAACAGAGAAGAAGAGAAAGTTAAGGACTCAACGTTTTCCCACTTTACCTCTCAGCCTTGC